AAAAGAAAAGAAAAGAAAAGAAAAGAAAAGAAAAGAAAAGAAAAGAAAAGAAAAGAAAAGAAAAGAAAAGAAAAAACACGGCCAGTGCAGGCGGAGGTGGAAATATCGCAGCTGCGATTCCTGTGTCAGTGCGAGCTCTCGGCGCCACTGCGCCCACTGTCTCTTACTAAGTGTTACTGCTAACTAAAAAAGCCGAGAAGAGCTTGCAGTTCACGCAGGAGAAGAGAGGGAGGAGCGGCTGCAGACGCCTTCTGAGGCTCTGGTGCCGATGGCTGTCCGGAGAAGGCGGGGAGGCAGGGTCGGGACGAAAGCGTCCGCCATCGTGAGAAGGTGCTCTGCTTTCTTTAAGTAAAGCCTTTTGCTCGTTTTGCTCCTACCCTTCCCCCGGCCTCTGCTCCACTCGGGGCGGTCAGGCACTGCTTAAGGCACTGCTGCCCTCAAGAGAAGGCCCCAGAGAATAAAATAATAGAGAAAACAAAAAAGATGGAGAGAGCGAGCCCGGCCGCCCGCCCGAGGGCCTGGCACTCCCTGCCGTCGGAGAGCAGGGCAGGTCGCTCCGCTCCGCCCCGTCGGGGCGAGGCCGAGGGTGACTGTGATATCGGCCGGGCGGCACCAGCCGTGAGGAGAAAACAAGCCGTAGACTCGCAGGTGGAGGAACCTCAGGGCCGGGGCGCGCTGCCCGAGGCTGCCGGGGGCGCCGGGCGCTCCCATGGGCAAGGCGCTCCCGGCGGGCCGGGATCGCCGCCAGCCCCGGGCAGCGCTGGGCCGGGCGCGGCGGGCCGGGACATGGCGCGGCGGGCGGGAGGCTCCGTGGCCGATGAACTGGCCAACGCCGCCGCCCGCGGGGACCTGCAGTGGCTCAGGGAGCTGCTGGACGGCGCGGCGGACCCCAACGCCGTCAACTCCTACGGCAGGACCCCCATCCAGGTAGGGAGGTGGGGTGCGGGCGGCGGGATGGGGGCAGCGGCCCCTCAGCGGCCCGAGAGACGGCGAAGGCAGCTCCGGGGCAGCCTCTCGCGGGGGCCGCCCCACGACGGCCGCGCTCGGCTGCTGTCGAGGCGACGCTGCGGTTCTTCTCGCCTCTCTGGGAAGGAGAAAGTCTGTGACGGCCGCAATAGAGAGGTTTTAGTCTTAGCAACCCTTGACTTTATTTGAACCAACTGAGATAGGATGACTCAAAACCGAGAACTTTAATGCTCATATAGCAATAAACGTGCAATAGAATGTAACAACTCCCGTTTGCAGAAATAATCACGTTTCTGTCATAGCTCGTCTTCTGCTTTATATGTCTGTCAATATTTTTTCCCCCTCTTTCCCATGGGAAAAAAAAAGTATATTCGTTGACTCTCACGAACAGAAACACCCGGTTGCGATAGCCTTGCCCGGCAGGCGCTGCAGGTAGATAGTGAGCAGTCTCTGTGGGGCTCAGTATGCCTATTTTACAATCGCGTGAACGTGTATGTAAACGTAGTGCCCGAAGATGTTATAGATGTTAAATTTATAAAAGCTGAGGTTATTTCCGAGGTAGTTCTAGACAGCTTTTTCTTAAATTTTAAAAATAAAACGAAACTGAAATAATCTGAGAAGCTATATTTAAGTTTTACTGGCAGTGCTTGCGAAACTCTCTCCCACAAAATGTCGGTGCAACCTTTCACTCGAAACAGGTATCTATTGCCGTCCTCCACTGTATTTTTTAATTATTTTTTTTTTTTCACTTTTGAGCGGCAGGGATTTAGATCCTGTGCTGAACGCACTGCCAGGTGCGCTGGGGGAAACGCAGCTTAGAAAACGACGAGCCCAAAGGGAGGGGCTCCCCGAAACTTTGGTACTGCACTGGACACGGGGGTCAGGCAAAAGGTGGATTTTGAGATTCTCCTGAGGGTGAGAGAAGCGCGGGCGCGGCGCCGCAGATTAAGGAGAGTTCTCCGCATATACGTCTACCCTTGGCAAGGACCGTCTGGAGAAGTGTCACGGACAGGAGTGGGACGACGGCCGTCCCCGCTACGGTTCCACGGTGCCGTTGCAAAGCGACCCGGAACTCGCTCTGTTTTTGTGAGGGTGCGCCGCGAGAAGGGCGACCCTCCTCCCCCGCTCCGTCTGCCCCGAGCCTATGGCCCCCCTGCCGCCTCCTGTCGCGGAACAGCCCTGGTGTGCACCCGCACACCCTGACTCCGACGGAGGTCCCGCACCTCTCTGCCCCACCTGTCCCGTGGCATGGATAAGCAGGTTTTCTCCCTGTGATGCAACCCTCCCGACGGGTCCATGCTCTCCACCGTTCGTGGCGCCTCTGGAGCCGATCTCTAAGCCTCATCCGCGGATTTTCTTCTTTCCACGGAGGATCATCGTTCCTTCAGGGCCGAGCGAGAAAGCCTGGGGGCTGCGAGCAGGCGCTGACACTGTCTCTCCCCGCAGGTGATGATGCTGGGCAGCCCGCGGGTGGCCGAGCTGCTGCTGCAGCGCGGAGCCGACCCCAACCGCCCCGACCCGAGCACCGGCTGCCTCCCGGCGCACGACGCGGCCCGCGCCGGCTTTCTGGAGACGCTGGCGGCGCTGCACCGGGCCAGGGCTCGCCTCGACCAGCCCGACGGCCGCGGCCGCCTCCCTCTCGACGTGGCGGCGGGGGGCCCGCACGGAGCGGTGGGCCGATACCTGCGCCACCTGCCCCCCGCGCCTGACCTCTCCCGGGGCAATTCCCGCCCCAAACTTATGCTCGCGCCCACCTCGGGAGACACCAAGTCGAGCAGCACTCATGCCATGCTCTGAATAACCCCCGAATCGCTGGGATGCACGAAGGACTCTTTGCTCGTACCTGTGTATTATCTTGCCCTGGACATACTACGGCCCTCCACAGGCCCCTATTTTCGTGCAGGAGGCCAAATATTATGAAGAGAAATATAAAATGTGAAGTATGAAGTAAGAAAATACTAAATGTGAAAATATTAAATAGTAAATATGAAATAGCCAATATGAAATATGAAATATTAAATGGGGAATATTATATGTGAAAATATTAAATAGGAAATATTAAATATGAAGGAAACCCCACACACAGAGCTGGTACTATAAACTGTTCATGTTTTGATGGCACCACGTCTGGGCTTTCTGTTTACCATCATCCCCGGGGCTCCGCACTCATACTTGCCAGCCCTCCGTCTGAAGAGGACGGGAGGGGCTCCGAGCTCTCCCTGTCCAATTTCGGTTACACGGAACTCAAGGGGCGCTGCCTCTCTCTCTAGCAAAACCGGCCGGGACAGCCGGGAATCGGCGCTTCCTGGTGCCATTGCGGCTTTGGCAAATACCTTCGCAGAACGACGTAGGATGCTGTGCATGTTTGTACATGCATCTTCGGTGCATCCGTTGCTCTTGTTGTGAAAGTTGCAGACATGGGACCTAGAAGGAGAAAATTAACTGAGATTTGTGTCTCTGCAAGCCCTCTACAGTCCCCACTTGAAGTACTCGTTTTAACGACTTGCAAGCGACCTCCCCTGAGTTATAGAACCTTGAAAAAAATCATGTTAGTTGCAAAAACAAGGCGACCAGGAACGAAAAATTAGAAATCATACACCCGAACTCAATTCCAGGGCTTACCAAGCTGCTTGCAGGTGAGCAGTTTATGTTTAGTAAAGAAAAAAGCAAACCGTTGTAACAGCTGTGCTGCTGGATTAGAAACGGGAGTAGATAAATTATCTGAGAGTCTACCCGTTTCACTGACTACCCCAGCACGGGGAAGTTGGGTGTGAGCACCCCACAGAAAGTGTACAACGACAGCCCACCCTCTACTGAGGGGAAGCCAAAGGCTGGGGAAACCCTCTGCCGCCGTGGTGGGTCCCAAACCATCAGGGGCTCTGTAGGAGAGCACGGGCAGCAGCGAGCAGGGTGGTGAGGCAGGCGATGGGGACCGTGCTCCCAGCCTGTGCTGAATGCCTCCCTCCCGGGACCCCACGCCGGGCTGCACCTGCTTGTCCTATGCCTTAGGGACTGAGAAAAGGAAGCAAGGCAAGGCAGCTAGCTGGAGAGCTCAGATGTCATTCCCCAGTGCAAATCCTAGGCACTTTGCAAATCTACCTACAGAGAATTAAAGGGAAAAAAAGTTTATTTTCGTTTTGCATTCCTACTGATTGTCCAACTCTTAGATAGTTCATAAACAATAAAAAATATGTATACACTTTTTAAAAAGCGTGTTGGAATATGTTATTTATTGTAATGTAAATTCATACAATGCATGCTTCATAATTACGTTGTATAAGTTGGTATGCTATAAAATATTTAGTTATGCCATTTACGTACAAAATACATCTATGCAATACCTATATAAAATATATGTGATATGCACATATATTAAGAATTTTATGATCATGTATCAGCCTTATGTATTAGCTTATCAACTATTTTATATGTAATACGTTTAATTACAAAAAATATGCATATAAAATATCTACGAAAAATTACACTATATTTGAAAGATATATAATAATATTTATAATACATTATAAAAACTTGTTTATTATAGGAATGCCTAGAACATATATTTTATACATATCTTTAAATAGAAAAAATATAGCATTACAGTATGCAATTATAACACCATAATAAATTATTCTGTATTCTATCTTAGAGCATGGCATAGCTGTAAACAAACCAAGCACAACACTGGGGATGCAGCAGTTAGATGCCTGTATCCCATGCCTGTGGGAACCAGAGTGGAGCTGGGACCAGATATAGAGACAGGAGAAGGGTAGAGCCTGACCATCCTCTTTATAGAACAATAAGGTTCTATTAAACTGCACTTCCAACTTCAATTAGACCAGTATTTCTGTTTTAAATGGTCTTTTTCTCCAATAACCAGATTAATTTAAATTTTTTAGTATTTCCATTAGGGCTTATGAAATTACAGCAGCAACAACTAAATATTATATTATCATTGTTACTAATGTTGTTCTTTAGGTTGGTAGAAAAATAACAGAATTTGCTAGGCTGGCTGCACCAAACGAGCAGAGTATGCCCTCAAAAGCCAACAGGGTTAAATACCTAATTGCTATAAATCTGCTTCATGCCATAGGTTCGGAGGCTCTGCCCGGGAGAGGCCCACGGTGGGGGATACTCACTCCTTGAAAGGATAGAGGTCCCGGTGTGATCCGGCTCGGCTGCAGGAGCTTCCACAGGCACCTTTTCTTCTGGCAGCCACGTCGGCACCAGGGCTTTTCCTCTCGGAAAAGAAGAATAGTAGCTGTTAACAGCAAATAGCAGCAGTAATTCACACATCGAGAAAGCCCTCAAAGCACTACGTGTAACGTGAAAGCCCTCAAAGCACTACGTTTAACGTGGCAGATTAGTCCGTTTTTTATTTTTAATATCGCCGCAGTAATCGAATACGTGTGTGCGCACACTCCCCACCCTCTGCAGCAGGGTTTGCGCCCTGTGCACGACGAGATGCTCCCCGGCCCCTGATCGGCCATGCATTCAGCGTTGGTGGGTATTTGGTTTCTATTGCCAAAACCGTAGATTCATCCTCTCACCACCGCTCCGGCACCTGCATCACGCAGCCAGGCAGGCAATTTATTTCTCTCAATTTTGCCTTGCCTGTCGGGGAATAGTAGCCATGGCAGAGAGAAGTGAAGGACGGGCTGGGGGCGGGGAGAGAGAAGAAAGAAAAGAATAAAAGTGTCTCACGAAGAGGTGCTTTCATTTCGAAATGGCTGATTTCACTCACCCACTTCCCAGGCTTGAAATCGGACTCGGTCCAGAAGAAACCATTACCGGCTTTTCTTTATTAACAGTGCTGTTAGCGTTACTCCATGCCGAGGCAGAAGAAGGAAACTTCTGTTGACATCGGAGTTATTGCTGTTTGTCAGGCCGAGAGAAGGAGGTGTTTGCTGGGGGGGGGGGGGTGTTGCACACGCCTATGTTCACCATCCCTTCCAGGGACTGCCACTCTGCCTCCCCTCCCGGCGCCTTCCCCGCGGCTCCCCACAGCCCCGGAGCCATCCCGAGCCTCCGCCCAGCCGCCTCTAGCCATGTCCAGCCGAACCGGGCCCGGCCGCCACTGGGAAGGTCGAAGACCAACCAACAGGAACGACGCTCTCCCTGCCCATCACCGTTCTCCACGCCTGGCATGGAGGTACCCTGCACTCGGGAGGAGGGATGTTCAGGCAGATGGGCTCCCAGGGTGGGAGGCGGGCCAGGCGGGTAGCGATAACTCCCGGAGAGCCTCTACCGGGCGGTGGAGCTGGCTCGGCACCGGCTGTCGAGGGGCTCGGCAGCCCTCCGGTGTTTCCTGGGAGCTGGCCTGGGAGGGGAGCGCCGGCAGGTTGATCGGGGCTTCTGGGCGAACCCCCTGCTGCTCCCCCGCCCCGCTCCAGAACTTCTCCCGTCAAAAGGAAAGCAAGGCGGTCCGACCCCGCGGAGCATGGCCGGGGAGAAAGTCCAGGGGCTGGCGGGGCAGTCGTTCATTACCCGTTTCGTTGACCGGCGGGGGGAAAGCGAGACTTTATTTTTTTTCCAATTATTTTTTCTTCCCCTCGCTCCGCTACGCAACGGTCCCGCGTCGCGTTCAAATGGCCATGTGACAAGGAAATAGCTGCTCGCCCGGGCCAATACTGGCCCGCGCATTTAAAGCGGCAGGGATCCGCTAGCCGGCCCCGGGGGGCCCGGCTCGGCGCTCCGAGCCGCCGCTGGCCCTCTTCCCGTCGGGCTTTTTCCGAGAAGAGAGAGATCCGAAAGCAATCAAACAGCAAGAAAAAAACCCCAAACAAATAACACCCGTCCCCAAACAGAGAGGGAGGCCGTTTGTTTGGAGGGGCAGACCGGAGGGAGGGCAAGGACATGTCGTCAAGGCTTTATTTGAAAGCAGGCGAGCGCCCTGCGATTGGCCGGTCTCCACGCCCGTTTGGTGGCGGTGCTCCCCGGGGCCAGGCAGTGGGAGGGGAGACGAGGCAGCGGTCTTCCCCGTCCCCATCCCCCGCCACCAGTCTTCCTTCGCCCGCTTTCGAGGCGGGAGCCATCATCATGGGAGGAGTTTAAGAGCGGGGTGTAGGGGAGGGGTGGGAAGGGGAGGGAGGTAAAGCGAAATGGGGACTCGAAATTAGGCAAACGGAAGAGACAAAAAAAAAAAAAAAAAAAAGAAAAAAAAAAAGAGAAAAAAAAAAAGAAATAAAGTCCTCTCCAATGAATGGAGGGTGAGAGGGCCGATTCACCGGTGGGGCCCCGCCGGGGAGGTATTTGTTATGTGAGGCGCAGGCGGCTTCCCCGCATCCATGACTCCCCGGATAAGGTGCACCATCCACTTTCGGCGCGCTCGCAGCCGGCCCCGGGCCCGGGCTCTGGGCCGGTTCATCCTCCGCCGCATTTTCGGAGCGCTGGGGCGGCGTTGGCCGCCACGCCTCGCCCTGTTGCTGGTCCTGCGGCGGAGGCGCCGCGGGAGCCCCCGGCCCAGGTAGGACCCGGGAGCGGGGCTGTTCGGGGGGCGGCGGGTGGTCCCCGGTGGCCGCGGGCGGCCCGACGGGGCGACAGGAGCAGGAGGCGTCGGCCCGGCCCCGGTGGCAGTGCCGCGGAGCCCCCTCCGTGCCATATGCTCAGATTCCACCGTGATCACGTTAGATTTGTGCAGGCGGGGGTTTTCTGTCCGTGTATTATTATTTTTAACTTTTTCCTTCCCCCCCCCCCAACGCAGTTGAAAATGTCAGGTTCTTGAAAAGTTGCTGTAACTTTTTTCTGCCTTTTCCCTCACTTCCTGAGAAGTTTTCTCTATGGCTAATTAAGAAAATATAAACCCACCATCCCTTATCAACTTTTGTAGACAGTTCCTTGCAAATAAGGAACATAGCTACTGCTCTGAAGAGAGAAAATGGCCACTGTTTTCCGAGCGTGCATTACTTTCCACTCTTATAAATGACAGTGAAATACAGTGGCCTACTTTGCCTTCCCTTGCTGTTACAAAAATATGGGGAATAAGGGTCAGAGCGGCCAAGCAGCATCAGAAAGAGTAACTAAAATACTCACATACTGAGACCTTGAGAAACATCCGAGGCTCAGGCATTTTTAGAGACTTTTTCCCTATTGTAGAATGCAAAATCGGATTGCTGTGGACCTGCAGGGTACACTTTAAGCGTTAGTCATCACACATAATTAGACATACAATGAAACTAAAGTAAATATTCATTTTGATGTGTATTTGGGGATTGTTCTGCAAAGTCATCACAGAGGCTTGTTAGAGAGCCCACAACCTCCTCTAGCCCAGAGTACAGACTAGAGAAGAACAAAGGCAGAAGAGAAGAATAATAGAAATATTTTCTGCAAAATATCTACAAAAATAGAGATAATTTATTTTATATATATGTAAATAGATGTATTAAAAATTAAACCTTTCAAACTATGGGACTCAGGGCATGAAGATGAAATAATTAAGTTTCCCAGCTTCAGTGTCTGATTAGATCTCTTCCAGTGCTTTTCAAATAGCAAGTGTGGGTACATACACAGACACACGAACAGACACACACATACAAAATATATATACACGTATTTATATATATATGAATCAGAAACTATATCCAGTTTTTCTTGTTGCTTTCAAAAGCCTCATTTCTTGCTTTTGTAGTAGGCCTCATTTCTTCATCTTACACTAAATGGAGGAAAAAGAAACTACAAACTCTGGCTGACATGAAATGCACGAATCTCAAATTAAAACATAAGTATGAAGGTGCTGATTATTTCGAAGTAAATTTGTTGTAGCAAGGACAGAATTCTCTCATGGATCCAGAAGTGTGGCTATTATTTTTTCTCTCTATTTCTATGCTTGCTGTAAATACAGCTACCTTATTTTCCCCTTCCCCCAAGCTTCTAATCAGAGAGATCGAGTTTGTCTAAAATGATACTTAGATCTAGACTACAAATCTTATTTTGAAGGGCCTGGGATGGGGTAAGACAAATGTGTGTGCTTAATCTAAAAAAAAAAAAAAAAAAGAAAAGCTACGAAAAATACAACACTTGGGGATATTTTTGCAGCTATTTAGGGCAGCACATAATGAAGCTGTGGCTGGCTTGTCTCTGGAAGTGTCTGAGGCTAGACTGGATGGGTCGCTGAAAAATCTGATGTAGAGGAAGGGAGGGGGTGTGAGGGGAGCTGTAGGGGGAAAGTGTGTGTGTGTGTGTGGAACTAGATTCTCTCTCCCTCCCAAGCTTAACCATTCCATGACTATGAAATTGACTCTGTGAAGTATCTATTTATTGGAGGTTGTTTGAGTTGGGAGGGGGGTGGTTTTGGCTTTGTTTTTTTGAGGTTATTTTTTGATCATTTTCGATCATTTCCATGTTCGATGAAACCCTCATAGCACAACTTCTGAAGGACTAAAATTAAAGTGATAGATATTCCTGTTCTTACCCAGTGTGTGTAATCAGGATAATTATCTTCACAAATACACTGACATTTTAAGCTGAAGAGTAAATCAACACTGTTAAACTGTTTCTGTGCATCGGTATTACTTCATTTTTAGCATAACTCCGAATAACTCTTTCCCTTACCTTCCTTTAATTATTTTCATGCAACCTCTCCATTGTAACACCTACTCCAGCCTCTCCTGAACATTTTTTACGTATTTACTAGCTAGGAAATTGCAATTTAATGTTCTTTACAGTTTGACTCTTTGTAGTATTTAATTAACCACTGAACTTATTACCAAAATGTTTGTTAGATGATAACTCATGTAAATGTTTTTAATTATTTTTTTTATTGCTGTTAAAAGCTTTAAACAGTGCATAAGATGGCTGCCTATGTTAACTGAAAACTACCTTTTCCGTCCTGCATGCTATTAGTAAAACATCTCAGAACAATTTGCAAGATTGGTGTACTACAGTATTAAAATGGATCTCTTGTTAGTGAAAAGATCTGTATGGCTGAACAGTGATTCTAAAAATAAATAAGAGCAGAAATGTAGGACAGGGACTCCACTTAATATGATACTTTTTTTTTCTCCCCATGAAAATATAAATATCTTCGCAGTAAGGGTTGTTGGGGAGAGAAGCTGGATTTTTCTCCCTTCCCCCAAGATGCAAGTGAAATACAGTGGTCTTTTTCAAAGCTCACTAGCTCAGGCTCTGTTATTATTTCCCTAATTTCAGATATGACCGTGTGTTGTTATGCTTTGATTAATTTGAGGTTCTTTGTTGGTACTAGAATTGTGAGAAAATATAAGATTTGCTTTTTGGAGGGGAAAAATCGCATGATTTCAATCATGTAATTTAAAATGTTCTAATAGTTTGTTAAGTGACTTGAAGAGTCAGTAGTGTTAGCACGAGACAGTGTTTTGGGTTTTTTTATGCCATGCTGCAATTTCGTAGCTTTTAGCACTACCGGGGGGGGGCAGATAGGGATACAGGCAGGCCTCTGACTCCTCTAATAACGTCTTCACTTGCAAAATACACGTGTGTGTATTTTTTCCTATCCTTTTCTATTCACAAAAAACAGGTATTCATATATTTATACACACAGATGCATAAAATCCAGTATCGATACTATTTCACAGAAAGCAAGATTAGCCAGTGATAACCTGCAATCCTGCCACACTTCAATATTGTTTTGAAATTTTAAGACACCATACAGGCATAACCAACGAGGTTTTCTCCTTGGATTTATCTCTACATGGCTATCATTCATGTCGGAGAGGGCAAGAAGGACCAGAGGGGACTTTGTCTGTTGGGTGGGGAATTCCCTTTATTTCTTAGACTTTACAGACTTTTAAAAAATCCACTTTTAAATTTTTTTTGTTGATTTTTTTTTAATTATTATTTGGATTTAATCGCCCGCGTGTCCCAGGGGTCACTCCGCACTATGCACTGAAGAGAAACCACGGTGTGGGGGAGCCTACCCCGGTGACTGCCCAGCAAGGGGCTCACCCCACACAAGCCCCCTCGAAATACTGCAGCCTCATCTTGCAATGCCACTTGCCCCAGAAACTTTGTGACGGAGGCTTAGAAGGCCGCCAAATGAAGAAATTTCAGTGAACGTCTGACTTATGAATTTAGGGCTAAATTTTTATTTATTTCTCCTCATCCAAGAATGTCTCTGCCTTTCGGCTACCGGTACATCTAGACATAAAATCGCCGGGTTTCCCCTCCAGCTACGCAGGTCTGTTTGTGTGCCCGAGCGGGGGGTGGTTAACGCCGAAGGGTACAGAGGTGTATCTACACGGCAGACACTCTTTCTGTGGCATCACACTGGTCTTCAGCAATTAAAAAAAGATTAGGGAACTGACATTGGAAGGGGCGGGGCGGGGGAGGGGAAGGGGGGAAAAAAGGAAAAAAAAAAACTCAAAGACGTCCTTATTCCCCTTGCCTTTTACCCACGTCTGTCCGGAACTTCGAGGTGACAGAATAAAAGCTTCACGCCGCGGGTCGTGGGTGCCGATCCCCCGCTCCCCTCCGACGCGGGGCGGGAGGGATTGCTTGGAGCGGGGGTATGTGTCACGGGCGTCCTCAGGGACGGGGAGATGGAAAGGCAAGGGGAGGGACCAGGTGCTTGGATTTTGAGAACCCTCAAAAAGGAAAGGCCAGGCTCTGCCTTGCCTCCGCCTGTCTAGAGCCGCACCTTACCCCGGAGGGCTACCGCTGCGATTTTCCTGCCCGCAGGAGTCTTCGGCAGGGCCGGCTTAAGCGGTCCTCTTCTACCCGGTGCCATGAGGATGATCGCAGACTTCCTAGGGGCACGGCTCCCTTCCTCATTCGGTCCGCCTTCTCCCGGCCGGCGCGGGTAGTAGGGAGGGACCCCCGACCCACTTCTCGGAGGGGCTCGGGCAAGACAGGGCAGGGCCCCCTTTCGGACGCAGAAACCAAATCCATCCCTCGTACAAAAGCCCCTTTCTGTCCCGGAAAGGCTCTGGTCCGTCGTTCCCTCTTCGTGTCGTCGTACCCCCGAGTTAGATACTCGTGGGGCGCGTCCCACCTGCCCGCGTCGAGGCAGCTGCCACCATCCCGGGCAGCCTGGAGAAGCCATTTGCCCCCCTCGCCTCCCTTCGCAACCGGCCCCATTATGGAGAGGGTGTGGGGCCGCAGCCCCATCCCCTTCTTTCTCCTGTACGGACGGAATCTCCCGCGGGAGCCGCCCCGCACTCCAGGTGCGGGTGAAACCCGTCTCCCCTGCCGACGTGCTGTACTGTCCCCGGCTCTCAGATTGCGGACCAGGCTGCCGGTATCCCGCAGTCCTTCGCCAGCCTCCCCGTGCCCCCCCACCCGGGTGAGGTTCGTGCATTTCACCGCAGCCGCCAGGAGCGCTGGGAAGCGGGAGCGAGCGGACGCCGCAGCGGACGCCCCGCAGTGGGTGTGAGTGGCGCGGGAGGCGGGCCCGGAGCCGTGCCCGCGGCCCGGGGGCCCCAGCCTGGGAGTGCGAGGGGGGCAGTCGCAGCTCTTGGGAAAGGAGGAGCTGCGTTGTCGCCACGGGCGAGGTCGCAGCCAGCAGAGCCAGAAAGCCAGGGGCGGCCGTGCGGCTCGGGTCGGCGGGGGGCGATGGAGGGGTCCCCCCGGGGAGACGGCGATCGGCTGTGCACCGCCGCCGCCCGCGGGGACCGCGAGGAGGTGCGGAAGCTGCTGGACGCAGGCGTGGATCCCAACGCGACCAACTGCTTTGGGAGAACCCCGCTCCAGGTACGGAGCATGGCGGGGGGGGCGGGGGAGCAGCCAGATTGCGGGGGTAAGATGTGCTCCGCCACGCCAGCGAGGAGGGGCGGATATTTTGGATTTCGAATGAATTTTTATTGTTATGATCGGAACCGTACTCCAGACGCAGCTGGATACAAATGGGTGCTTTTTTTAACCCCTGCCATCCTGAAAATACAAGATGGATTTTAGAGGGGAACCGCTGGCAGTAAAACGAATTATGCGAGGGGGTACTTAAAAAGAGAAGTGAGACTGCAAAATCCTCTTCCAGTTGGGTTTGGGGAGCTGACTGCACTTTGAGCAACTTTTCTGGGCTTTTTGAAATATAGCCTGAATGGGTCTTTTTTTCCCCAAGGAAATCGAAGTAGAATCCCTTACTAATATATTCACGAGCAACAACAGCAGAGAAGGCGATGTATCAATTGTACTGATAGAAATTTTAACTTGAAACTAGGTATATATTAGTAGTCACCACTTTTTTTTTTTTTAGTAGTAGTAATTTTAATATTCTCTATTCATCAATAGTGGTAGTATTCACTGATAGATATTGAAAGTACCCGTGTGTGGAGTTGCTTTCCAGGCATTTTGAGAGCTAAAATGTGTTCTATTAATCGACCTACTTAAGTTAAAAGTTTTTACTGTTTATTGAACGATTAATGTACTGTGATTTAAGCTAGAGTTGTATGTCTCATGAAAAGAATTCTCGAGTTGTCATTTGAAGCGATATATTTAATGATTCATCAGCTAAGCTGAACAGCCATTTTGGTCTTTGCACTTTACATGGAAAAGGAAATGTTTTTCTAAAGTAAGTTACTGAGAAAGGCTCTGAGAAAATTATTCGTTTTATTTCTGTTGTATGTTCAAAATCCTGATAGAAAGAATCTCCAAATTCTTAGAAGTTTTCTCTTTCTTTCCCTCATTTCAGAGTGAGACTGGGTTCTGTTTCCCTTTTCAACACTTGCAAAATGTCTGACACTCTGATATGTGGACACTCTTTTTTTTCTGAAAAAATGTAAATCAGAAATTTATAAATGATTAAATTTATAAGCATTTTCAGACTTTGATTATAAATAAACACAATTATTTGAAGTGCATAAACAAAGTATGGAGAAAGAAAATAATGTGAAAAACCTTTTGTCTTAAGATCTTTTCCATAATGTTAAGTTGCAATTTATGGAGTTTAAAATTCCACTGAAAATGACCAGGACAATGATGGAAGTAAACACCCAAATGCAAATTTATTTTATTTGTTGGTTGATTGTTTGATTTTGTTCAATCGTGGATGATCAGACCTTGCAAAAAGTTTTTGCTAATGGCCGGAAAGCAAGATGTCTTTAGGAATTTGCCATCTGGAAAGTTTTGCGCATTACTTACGAGCACCCAGCAACTTTCCTCACATTTCTGAAAAGAAGCCAAAGCTGAGAGAGAGAATGAAAAACAAAGAAAAACCATTTCGATCCAAAACTCAGGAGGAGAAAAACTGGAAATTTCCACACCGGATGCCGAAAGGAACCCCACGCAGCTGCCTAGCCTGGTTTGCTGCACTGGTCGTTGATAAATCAATAAGACATTCTAAGTGGCAGAAGCCTTAATGCAGGGCTGCTCAGGGCTGTCAAAAAATACAGGATGGGTATGCATAATATAGAAATACATACATACATATATATACATATATACACATATATACAGACTATTTATGTGTATAAATATATTTAATGAATTTTTAATATATGCATGTGTATAAATCTACTTGTAGTACCTATATATACACTATTTATTATATAATAGGTGGTACATAGACGATATATATATTCGTGTGTATATATATGTGCACACATACATAGCCGAGTCTGCATGTACCGTACATATAATTTTACACACACTACAAGTACCATTTATACCATGGTATATATAAATGGCATAATATGTGAAAAAGAACATACACATATGCAGAACCTAGTCTGGAAACCACACGCATCGTAGCTAGTATTTTTATTTTTATTTATATAATCACGGACTATCTCGAGTTCAAGGGACCCGTATGGATCATCGCATACGGCTGTCAGTATTTATGCAGGTCACGACTACAAGTAGCCGACATAGGAGAATTATGCCCAAAAGAGACGCCAGTCCCGCCGCCGCCCAACCGCCAGCTCGACGCTGCGCCGGCGTCCACAGGCGCTGACACTGTCTCTCCCCGCAGGTGATGATGCTGGGCAGCCCGCGGGTGGCCGAGCTGCTGCTGCAGCGCGGAGCCGACCCCAACCGCCCCGACCCGAGCACCGGCTGCCTCCCGGCGCACGACGCGGCCCGCGCCGGCTTTCTGGAGACGCTGGCGGCGCTGCACCGGGCCGGGGCTCGCCTCGACCAGCCCGACGGCCGCGGCCGCCTCCCGCTCGACGTGGCGGCGGGGGGCCCGCACGGAGCGGTGGGCCGATACCTGCGCCACCCGCCGCCCCTCCCGGGAGCCGGGAGGGCCGCCGAGGGGGCTGCGCGCTGACCCGCCCTCGGCCGCCCCCGCCGGCACCCTGTCCCCTCGCCGCCTGCGCCCATCTCCGCCGCGAGTATCCCCGCCGTCGAGTCACCCAGAGAGCGATCGCGGTTGGCGGCGCTACCGGTGTCCGACTGCTGGGAAGACTCTTCCTCTGTCCCGCTGCCCAGGGCTCCTCCCGCACGCCCCGGGCACCCCGTGTCCTGCTTCTGCAAGAAGACACGTGCTGCTCAATTTCCTGAGAAAAAAAGGAAAGAACCAAAACACTGCCAAGGCTAGCGCTCCTGCTCTCCCTCTCAGGCTCCCCGACGGGCAGAGCACAAGCAGCAAACCCTTCTCCTGTGCCTCGGGGGGGGTGAGGGGGCGGTGGAAAAATCCGCCGTTTCCCCTCTCCATTTTTTTGTTACGATGAAACTGCTTGGAGAAGTGAGAATGCTATGTTTCCCTTACCGGCTTGCTCACCGCCCTGCAAGGCTTTGCATTGTAGAGATACCTTGAGGTTCTTTTATGTTGTAGTGCTCTGAAATAGTGAACACTTCAGCCATCTCGTTTACAAATGTTCTCAATCTATAAATCTTTTCCCCTCATCAGCCCACTTAGAATTTTAATATTAGTATATAACATTGATTGAATGTTAAAATATTTAACGCTGATAGACATCACAATTTGAGAACTACTACAAATATTTTGTATAGTTGCATTTGAGGAAGCCATCCATGTGAAAAAACAATTAGTGATCGCTTTGTTATTGTGTGGTTTTGCATTTGGAGGTACCCCATTCATTCAGAAGATTTGGGCAACGAGCTCCTTAATTTTAAGACAGCTTTCTGGGTCTCTAAACTAGATATTTGGAAAAAACAACAAATGACCGAGTTTGGTTATAAATCTGGATTTTTTTCACACTTTTCGTTTTCTGTTTTTTCCTACGGAATTTCCATTGCCTACCCAATGTTTGTACCACTTGCGTTCAACAAAATGCCTGTTATTATTCAATATCAAAACATGAGATTGGCTTAAAAAACTTCATTCATAGTGTTCAGCTATTAAATGGTTCTGCGTGCAGCACTACTCAGTGTTGGGCGGTGTTTTTTATTTCGACTTCGTTTATTGCTTTCTTTTTTGGGGGGTCTGTGCATAAATTTGCATGGATACACACAGCATATTCAATGCAGGTCAAATACACAGGGCTTTTCGCAGATGTGTATTACTTAAGCACATACACATGCAAGTTAAAACCATCAAAATCGTTCGTTTCCTTATTTAAAACAACACTTAGAGAGCAGAAGGAAAGTCCAACTGAACTTTGTACCTTTGCATGACTTACGATCTATTTTTAAGAGTAGGAATTTTTTCTTTTCCTGCCGAAAGAAGAATTGACAGGTGCTTACTGTGGAATGCACTGTTGGTGCATACTATGTCCAAGAGCTTTTTTTCAATCCCTGCAGGAAAGTTGGTGTCAGCATGCCAGTGTCTCGGAGCCTCCACTTCAGTCAGGGCACAGGTCCTGAAGAAGCACTAGACTCATTTCTTTAAAATAACAGCAGGGGTGGGGAGCCACTCTCCTCTCAAAAAGAAGGTTGTTTCCTAGCTCTTTGGGGGCCAAATGGAGAGTGAGCCCTGTCCCAGAGGGTGTTTGACGACCAAGAAAGGCGTCAGCAAACCGGTTTGGGGCAGGGCAGGTGGGGAAAACTGGACTCGATGATCCTCGTGGGTCCCTTCCAACTCAGAATATTCTGTGATTCTGTGAATGTTTTTCATTTTCTGCCCTGACACTCCAGGCTTTCATGTGGGCAAAGTGGACCGGAAAAATCGGACTAAATGATCCTTGTGGATCCGTTCCAACTCAGAATATTCTATGATTCTGTGAATGTTTTTCATTTTCTGCCCTGACACTCCAGGCTTACATGTGGGCAGGAGCCCAGCTCAGCCTTTCGAGATGGGGCCTGAGGGCAGGTGACTCTCCTCCCTGCCAAGCTGTTGGCAGAGCATAGGCAGAGCATCCATCCATCCATCATCCACCCCCGCTGGGCTCCCTGCCCACTCCCTGCCCACTCCCTACCCACTCCCTGCCGCCTGCTCTCCTGCCCGCGGGCTGTCCGCGGGCTGTCCATCCCGTAGGAGGGAGGGCCAGAGCCCTAGGGAGTCCCTTCAGAAACATGACAGAGAGAGAGCCATTCACACTGGGATGTCCAACGGGGTTTCCACGCAGCCTCTCCCCACTTGGGAAAGCCATGCTGAAAGAGTGCGACCTACCTAGGTGTTTTGGCTGAGATGCCAAAGCCCAAAACCTCCTTGGGAAGTCGCCTGAAGAGAATGGAAAGCTCTTAGTACGGAGTTATGCATGGTGATTTCAGACGGTGGTGTTGCTTTTTGGGCAAGGAGCCAGCAGCGCTATGTTTCATAAAAAGCACATTCCAATTGTCTGTGAATGCCAGCATCTAAATAATTTGACAGGATATTGTCCAGTTGCTGTCCTCTGCCAAACTTTTATATTCAATAAAAATACTTTCAGGTGTAATGGCACAACGAGTTTACTATTACACATTATGAAAAACTACTCTTTGAGAACATGACTCCCAAGGTTTACAACAGGCAACATCCCCTTTGAATTCACCTAAGTTTATTGTGTCTAAAGGCCCACAGGCTTTATATATTGTGTTCAAAGTCTTTGAAAGCTTCAGAGAAGTGAAAAACAAAAACTATTTTAGAAAAGAAAGTCATCACCCAACCTTGCCTGGAATAAAGGTGTGGAAATACATTAATTTCACTGCCTACTTACATAGGAAACAAGCCTCACATATTGTGAGTCTCAGGAGGAAAATGGAAATGCTCAGAGCCCTTACAGGAAAAAGTGAGGAATTTGAAGATGGAGCAGGCAAGGCACAGTACTAGGTGCTGGAGAGAGAGCCTCTGAAGACATCTGTGTCTTAGAAGAGCCCTGGTGGGGCATCACTCACAGCAGCAGAGATAATATACCTAGTGGTTCTACCTTTTTTTTTTTTTTAATCAGGTGTCAGTCAATCCTAAACTGACAGCCACTGAAGTAACTCAACACTTCCCCCCCCCCAAACTCACAGGAAAAAAGATAGGAATACTTTGAGATGTACGAACAGAAGTTAAGACGGAACACTTCTTTTCTTTGTGAAAATGTTCCCAGAGGACAAATTTCTCTACACTCCTGTTTCTTAATAACTACCTTCATGCTTTTTGGTAGAAATACTTGATAACAAAGTGTTTCTGTGCTGGAGAGAGCCCAAGAAGGCATAGTGAAATGAGAGGCAGTCCTAAGGAGTTGAAAACCAAGAATCTTGCAACTAGAGGTTTCAGGATGCCTCACAGAAAGGTACATGGATGACTGCCACTAGACCCAGCATTGCTCTTGTTATCAAGTGTAAGCTCAGGACTGATGGTGGGCTCTGAGAAGCCCTGTTTGCACCTACTGCTTCAGGCACAAATGACCAGGGGGACAAGACATTTAGAGTTCAGCTCACACCACCAGCAGAGGTCATGGTATTAGAAATAACCTACTTCCTACCACTGAACTAGGCAGCTCATGCTGCCATTGATGCAGTCACTCCTTTCACGAAGCAGCCTCCTACATGGGATTTCTCAACAAAGACATTCCTACTTGAGGACACGAGAGCAGCAATTTAGAACATCAGAGTTTGATCACCCAGGGGGGAGAAGTCCCAGGATCAGCATTTTTTTCTCTCCAAAGTGCTGGTTGTTGACAGCATGGGGTGGGTAAAAAGGTAAGAAAACAGGCATGCTGAGAACTTGGAGCATGGGGCAGAAGCACAGGGTGTCCAGAACAAGAGCAAAAAGAGGCAGGTTCAGCTCAGCGAAGAGGTGTCTGGAGAAAGAGGAGACAAAGCCTTGGGAAGGGTGCCTACACCTGAAAGGATATGACATGGATATTTACCCCTACCCCACTCCATGCTGACCTGGGTCAATGCTTTTGTTTGGCTTCTTAAACAAAGCTCATCACTGCAGACACCCAATCCACATGGCTGACAGAGCAGTGGCACTTACAGTCAGACATGGACCCTGCTTGGTGGAAATCATGGAGAGAGGGCATTCCTTGCCTAGTGGGAGCAAGCACTTGAACACTGCTGCCTTTACATTTTTTTCTTACATCTGTTTTCTTCTTAGATGCTGAGCAGCCTAAGGGCCAAAGAAGGAATTGAGAGTCAACCTAAGGCACTAACAATATCATGGAGAGTTTGTATCACATATGGATCTGGTCCAAGGACAGAGCTAATTCCACTGTCCTCCTCATATGCAATTAAGGGGAAAGCAACTCCTACCATTCCCTTCCTCCTACTGGTTTATCTTGCTGGCTTACCTTCAGGCAGATGCAAAAGAATGATTCTAAGTGTTTGATCACGGTATTGTAGGAAATAAATAAGACAGTTTTATTACAAGCAGGAGTTTCCAGGCTGCCTCATGCCAGGGCACTTGGGAGCCATTTTTTTAAAGGACTGGGGAACTATACTGTGGTCAGGGACTAGTGGACTGCTTGTGGTTCTGCTTGAAGTTGCTTATTGCTGCTGCCTACTTGCTGCTGCATACAGCTCTGCTTGGGGTTCCCTATTGCTCTGCTTATAGTTCTGCCTGCTTACTGATACTGACTGTTACTTATTGTTCTGTTTGCTTACTGTTACAGTGCAAAGGCGCAGGTCTTCGCACCACAAATTGCCTGAGCCAATACCTAATAAAGCTGGAACTTGACAATTAAACAAACAGTGGCAAACTTTTGCAAAAGTGTGATTAAAGGTTAATTTCAATTCTTTTGAACTGTCCTGCTTCAGCCAGCACTGAAATGATAGTGGGGAGAGGAAGCAGTCGTTAAAACAGTTAGGCCAGAATTTCCGTCTTAGAGGGCTGGTCCCACCCAGTGCTGAGCACCTTCTGAATTAATTTCTCCTCTTACTGATACTCAGCTGCTTTCGATAAACAAAACACTCTTACTGGTTACAGTTCTGGGAACTCCAACTGCTCTCAGATTTGTTTTGAATACTAATATAAAAACTCAATTCTGATGTCACATGCCACCTGTGCTGATGCTGAGAGATGCTTTGGATGTCGTTAGCATGAAACAGTGGGAAGTGTTAGCTAAGTGAAAATGAGATATGAGTGGGCAATCTCATGTTAGCAAGATAGATCAATGTCAGGCTGCAAAGAATGATTTAGAGAAAACAGAAAAAGGAGTAAAAGAGTAAATGTAATGGCCTGCCCCACATTCTAGTTTGTGCCATATTTGAACCCGCACTGGCATCAGTACGTTATGCTGCTGACATACACACTGGAGGATGCTGTGAGCAAAATAAACTGCAATCTTCTCCAAGACAAAAGGATTTCAAAAGCCATGGATAGTTGGGTAAAGCAAAATACAACATGCAAACAATCAGTGAGAAGTGGGGTAGGACCAGTAGCAACTGCACACTCAGAGAGAGCAAGTGCTCCTGACACAAGCTGCTGGCTTGGAACATGGACAAGGGCTGTTTGGGTCTGAATGCTACCAAGTCCAAACCCAGAAGTCTCTTCAATCAAAGCAGAAGGAGATATCTTGCCTGTGATATCTTGACGTGTGCCAAGATGAAGCAGAGCTCCTAGTGAACTCCATTGGAGGGACAGTTGGACAAAAGTTCCTGTGAGTGGGTATATGTCTCCTTTTGCATTTGTTATTTGCATGTTGAACTTACCCTGCAGTGACACTCTGCTTGTGGTCTGTGTGGATCTGGACATTTTATGAAGTTCCGACACTTGGCCTTTCCTTTGGAGGCCAGCTGAAAATTTTGTGAGGAATCAGTTGGTTACAGATTCTGTGTTTCCTGGTCCTTGCTTAATACTGGCATGCCTCCTGCTTTGTGCATCTGTGCTATTTGCAAGCACTCAGTTCCACCCAATCTCTCCTCTGTGTAAGTGGGAAAGAAAATTAGGCTTTCAGCATTTATTTCTAACTCTTCCCTAGCCGCATTTCTCTATATTCCCAAGGTAAATCCTGCACAGGAGCAATAGAGACCGACCTGTTCTTCAACAATTACTGCTAGTTCTAGGGGTGCTCTCTCCCTCTCCAAAGTCTTGAAAGCATTCAGGCCATGAGTTAGCTCAGGGCAATTTCACTGGAGAAAGAGAAGTAGACTTGGAAAACTTAAGGTTAAATTTCACTAGCTAATACTTTATTAGGCTTTCCATGGTTCTAATCTGTTTTGTATGAGATATGAGCAATTTACCCACAGAGAAGCTGCTTCGTTTGCTTCAGCAATCATTATTTAGGTACCTGTGTTGAAGTAGGCAACGTTTAAAGAAGACTTTAAAATGATCTGTGAAACATACACATAGAAACCAGACAGGTCCTGAAGGTCCCACTGAAAGCTTTGTTACTGTCTAGGAGACAGTATTTACTATAAGAGATGTTAGTGTAAAACCAGAAACAAGCATGTAACAGGTTACATTTAAAAAACAGAAGACACGAAGTTTCTGTAAGATGAGCAATGACATCAGTTAAGCTAGAGAGGCACACATTTTGCAATCTGTGATGTTTGAAAACTAGGCAACAGCCACAATTGAGCATCGTATATCCTGGTAAGCTGTTTACCAGGTCAAGATGCAATTTTCCAGTAGGTTCAAGCTAGCACTTCTCACGTTATGATACAGGAGCAGTGCTAATAGCATGGTTGCAAAAAAAGAAAAATTGTCATGGATACACTCAAACTGAAGTGAGGCAATTTTCATCAATGAAGTCCTCTGCCTGTCATTGTCTCATTCTTGTTAAACCAGATACATCCTGAGTCTGAGAATGACCATGGTTCTCTGCTAGAATGTTTACTTGGTTTTAGTAATGCAGTACATTGAATTTGTATCTTCTTGCTCTCTATCACACCTGCAGTTCTTCCTACAATACCCTTCTTAAGACTGTTTAGAAAGACAATTAAGCCCACTTTTATTTGGCCCTATCTTTATATAGTTAAACACTTACCTACGCTTTTCTTGCCAATTACTATCTCTGTTATATAGTCTGCTGGATAAATAACTCCCAACACATTTCAGAGTATAAAATGTATGCTGAACTTTGCAAAAAAACCCTAAACACTACCACTGTTTTACTGACTTTATATACAAATTCTGCATGAGACACCTTCAGGTATCATGCCTATGTTGACAGAGCAAGTATCAGAGAAGATGCTGGAAGGCATCTCCAAAGACCATATAGCCCAGTCCTTCTACCACAGGCAGGCACACCTTCCACTAGACCAGGCTGATCAAAGCTCTGTCCCACCTGATTTTGAACACTTGCAAAGATATTTACAACTTCTCTGAGCAGCCTGTTCCAGAGTCTCACTGCCTCCATCGTGAAAAAATTATTACATCCAATATAAATATACCCCCCTTCAGTTTAAAACTGTTGCCCCTTGTCCTGTCACTACAGGATGTGGTGAAATATCTCCCTCCATCTTTCTTATAAGCTCCCTTTAAGTTCTGAAAGGTCACTGTAAGGTCTCCCCAGAGCCTTCTCCTCTCCAGGCTGAACAACCCCAACACTCTCAGCCTGTCCTCATAAGAGAGGTGCTCCAGTCCTCTGATTATCTCAGTGGCCCTCACTGGACTTGCTCCAACAGCTTTCCTATAGTGAGGACACCAGTGTCTGCAGCACTCCAGGTGGGAGTGCTCGCCAGAGGGGAGTAGAGGGGCAGAATCACCTCCCTTGACCTGCTGGCCACGCTGCTTTTGATGCAGCCCAGGATGCAGTTGGACTTCTGGGCTGTGAGTGCACATTGCTGGCCCATGTTCAATTTTTTCATCCACCAGCATCCCCAAGTCCATCTCCACAGGGCTAGTCTCAATCCCCTTTGCCCCATCTCAAATGCAGCACCTTCCACTTGGCCTTGTTGACCTTCATGAAACTTGCACTGGGGTCCACTCCTCAAACCCGTCAAGGTCTCTCTGGATGGCATCCCTTCCCTATGGTGAATCAATTGCATCACTCAGCTTGGTGTCTTCTACACACTCAATCCCACTACCTTATTTCACTGATGAAGATACTATACAGTATTGGTCCCACACCTTTGAGGGACATCACTCATTACTGGTTTCCACTTGGACATGGAGCTATTGACTGTAACTCTTTGGACACAGTCATCCTTACCTAGTGTTGTTATCTAGCCTTGCATAGGAAGAATTTATAACAGAAATGTGTAACAAAACTCACTACCTATGGACCTGCTCTGTGCCACTATCCCGTGACAGTAAGTACCCAATATATTTAAAAAAAAAAAAAAAAATCGACACAACAATTATCTTTATATGTCACTACCAAATGTAAAAAGAGAAACCCAAGGGGGACTGAAAATGGACACCCATAAACAACTTTCTCTTGGAACAATCAAATATGAACTTCCTGGCTCCAATTTATTTCACCAAAAGTGCCTAGGGGACAAAGATAAAAATGGAAATAATTTTTAAGGCCAGAAACCTGGTTTGGCTTAGTGAAAGGCAGTGAAGTGTATGTTCAAGCTCTGTCTCCTGCAACCCAAGTTCTTAAAAACACCAGGAAACACAGAAAATTGGTTAAGCCACTGTTGCCAGTATCTGAAAAGCACTTGTACTGGTTTTGCTAGGCAAAGTATGTCCAAATCTAAAGGCTTTCACAGCAGGAGACTGGGTGTCTAACAGAACAAGACTATCAAGGTAAAATGCTTATGTACCTTCTTTCTTCTATTTTCCTTTGGATTAGTTTGGGGTTTTTTTACATTACCATTGAGAATCCTTACCTTTCACGTTTCTGATATCTTCCTTGCTTGCCTTGCATTCTAATCCACTTCTGTCTCATCAATCCCTGTTGTTCAGGAACTTAGAACCTAAAGTTCTGAGCAGCACAGTGTTTCTAAAAAGTGGTCTTTCTAAAAGCAGTGCTTATAAGGTATCACCACCAACCTGTTCCATGAATGGCAAAAGTCATTGTGAGATAAACAAAATTCACGGACTTAATGACTAGAAGTAAATAAACAAACCCCAATTTGCACACAGCTTAGAGAAGCATTTAATTTATTTACTAGACAAGAAGCAGCAGGTTATTTTATTAAAGTAAAATTATATTTAAAAATTTGAAATGCATACATTCAAAGCACTGGAGCACATTAATCACTTAATACAGAATCTAAATTTGGAGTTGTTCAGTGAAGCAGAAAATGGCCAGCATAGTGGGACACTGGCACCAAAGTACTTTTATGTACAGTTCTGTAAGTCACATAAGTACATCTTTAGGCACAAATCTGGCTTAGGCATCACCAATTTTTTCAACAAGAACATTAGTTAATTACACAACTGCTGCTGTGACAGAACCACCACAATTATTAAATCATATCTTCTAGCACACAAACAAATACACTTCTTTAAAAAGAAATAAACAGAATTAAAAATAAGGATAATGTATAAAAATAGCATAATTTTTATTTGATATGGTTTGCTCAGTTTTTCTGCTATGTTTCAGAAGTGAATTATTAATCACTTGCTGTATTTAAGGAAAAGATGGGAGGTAGAAACAGCAACACAAATAGCCTATCTGTGAATCTGCTTTATTTTTTTACCTTATTTTATGAAACTGCAACAAGAGTATTACCTAGACTTTAATTTCTACCATCAATTAAAAGGTACCACTGAATAGAGCATATTGACTTTTGTTCTTCAACCACTGTCTGATCCAGCTTGACAGTAAAGCTATTTCTAGTTGAAAACATCATCATGGCTAGGCTTCACGAACGAAGATTTAGGAAGGCTCTATCCACCTTTGTTACAAGAGTTGAAAACATACTCAATAGCTAATTTTAACCATCGTATACATTATCAAACTGATAAAGATTTTAACAGTGGCCTTACATATTATCACTGGTTAACATCTAGTCCGTTCTTTTACGCTCGTAACAATTTTTGGAGATATTATAACCTCTGGAAGTTCACAAGTGATCCATTCTTCCTTGTAAGCACTCCAAGATTCATCCAGGTTGTTACTGCTTTGGCAGGATGACCGAACACTGCACTGTTGTCTGAAATACAAAGTCACAGTAGATGAATGCTGCTCCTGCCAGTGCAGGGGGAATTACTTTTCAATGTAAAAGTAGACTACATAGCTTCCATTTGGATTACAAATAGGTGTAACTCCTTACCTGTGCATAGTTATCTCCAACTTCTTCTAAACCACAGAATTTAAAAAAATTACAAGATGGGCATACCCACACATGGAGCTGTCACTACAACTTTTGAAAACCTATGTGACGCTGATTGGTATTGAGAAAAACAACCATATTGCAGAAACACTAAATTATGGACTTTGGGCTCACACGATACAAATGAAAAATTGTGCAGCTTGCTTTTCTTCACTTCTATGTGATTTTTCAACAGTTTGAAAGTACAGCCATTCAGAAAAGAAATCTTTCTCTAAAGCTGTACTCACTGGGAGCGAATGCAATCAATACTCATGTTATGTAGGGAGAGGCAACTTTGTCATTAGCCACATTCAATGGCAGGACCTGAGAAACACTTCAATCTCAGCTTTTGTGAGAGGTCCTTAGCCTGCAAGTACCACTGCATGTGCAGACCAGTGCAACTACAGTTGAAGCGAAGCCTTGAGGAATTTTTCCCCTCTGCCTTATTCACCTGAGCCAGTTTACTCTGGTCACATAAGTACATTCACTGATTTCACTGAGACACTTTTTGAGGAGGAAAATTATTCAAACATATTTACAAGATTACAGTTCTACATGACTACATTAGGAACATCAGTTTCAGCTTGTGACAGAGCAGAAAAAATGACTGAAAAATATTAAGCTTTATGCCCTTTAACCTACCAAACATAAATGCCCAAGTGAGTCAATGATGAAGTATGTCAAAACACATACATACGGTATCTACAGATACCTTACCCTATCTAAACTATTCCACAGTATTGACTTACCACAACTCTCAAAATACAGCATTATGCCTTGTATCAAAGGTCTGCCAAATACCATTTCACAAAGGCTAGTACAGAAGTTCAAAAAAAGGCAGGTAGCATCAGGTTTCCTCACAGAGACAAGAAATTTACCTGAGAAGCACTCACAAAAGCTCTGACACCTTACCACAAGCTGATTTGCTTGCAATCACACTGTAAGAAAAATCAGTTTCCACAGGACATCCCTTTTATCGTTGTAATTCAGACTCTCTTCTGATCCTTATGGTGTTGAATGTTGTTGTAAGAAAAGTACAGAGCTCAATTCCCAGTTATTATGAGCTAAAATTCTTTTCAACAGGACAATTTTTTCCTCTCTAACCAATACCTTTCCTAGCAAAGACAAAAAGGAATCTACTATATCAGTTCCCATTTGAAATTGTCTGCTGTCACCAAAATTCATTTACTGTCTTCAGCAATGAGACCATGTTTTACATGATAAGCTTTTGGTATCAATGCAGTGGGTTAAGTTCTTGTTGCCTTTGGCATCTCTTCCAAGTGTCATCTATAGACAAACTTTGGTTTTATTGAAAGAATTCCTAACATGCCTGCTCTTGCTTTTCTATTCCTTCTTTGTAGCTTGTCCCTGCTTCCAACCCTTGAATGTTGCGTTTTCACACAGAGCTCTGTTTCCTGTTCAGTCAATTCAGTTTCCTGACTGGTCTTTCTTTGGATCAGTCCTATACTTGGAGAATGCTGCCCTTAAGGACCTGCCTAATTTCTGGAGTTCCTTGTCTCTTCAGAGCTGCCTTCCATGAGACGATACCTACAACTTCATTGGTTAAAACCAAGTATGCTTAACTGAACTCCAGCACCTGTACTCTGCTAACTGCCTTTCTTGCTCCCCATAGGGTGTCCAACGCCACTATTTCATGAGCATTACAGCAACAACTGCCAGTAATTATCACCTCACTACACAACTCTTCTCTGTGAGCAGCATATCAAGCTGTATATCACCCATGACTGAAACATCCGATCCAGAAATTTCCCTGATACCAGCCAGAAATCACTGGGACCACTGTGATCACCAGCATGATCTGTGTTTCTTCATCCATGACATAAATATCATGTGGTAGTACCCTGTTCTGAAAGAGTAAGGGCTTTAACCTGAGACTGGAGAATGACCTCTTTATAGCAAGAGCCAGGAAATATTGGTCTAAAGACATCTTAAGCAGTAAGAAAATTAGTAACTTTCAAATTATGCCTAAACTCACTGGCATATCACAGATGAAAAGACACATGAAAGAGAAGGGACCTTTAGCAGAAAAACAGCCCTTGGAGATTTTGCTTCAACACTGCAGTCTTTCCTAAAGACTACTGTGAGATTCAGAGGTCACACCAATGCATGTGGGATGCATACCTCCACGTAAGGAGAGAGAGAAATGCAGGTGGGCAAAGAGACTGGCAGCATAATTTCTCCTGCCTGGTGAAGTTCCTTCAGTCATAGCAGCCAGATTACAGAGCTCGGAAAGGAAAAGCTCTTGTGTCCATGTAGGGCTTTATCATTTTACATGCTTCCCCAACACTTGAAACAGACATTGAGATACCCAGCTGCATACTGGATATAGGCTGTCAGTGACAGTAGTGTACCAGCTGCAGTCTTATTCAGCTTGCCCCTTGTCTGTGTTCCTTTAACACATTACCACAGGACATGCAAGACATGCTGCCTTCAAGCTCTAGGAAAAGGCACCTCTGGAACAGATCAGTTAAAAAAACCTCACCACATGACCTTCAAAACTCCCAGTGTAAAATACATAGAAGTACACTACAAGAAAATAGTTTTTTAAACTCTTTATGGTTCACCTACACATTTGTACAGAACCACATATGTATATTTCTCTCTTTGCTGCATTGCAAAATTGCCTCTCTAATTCATTAACTCAGAAGCCTAGGATCAATCCTTTATCTACTTTACCATCATTTCATTCCCCAAAAATGAAGATTTTTAGCCTTTTCTGATTTTCCTACATAAAATCAGAATAAGCCTCCAAAGCCTTTGGAGCTTTAGAACTTTGTCGCTTTTCTAGACTACTTGGTTGTGTTAAATCATAAACAGTCGTGACTCCTACTCTCTTGACAGAAAATTTCAATCCCCACTGCCAATACCTACTTTCTGTTTCCAGTTCTTCAAATGCCTTCAGATCAACTCCCTTTCTCAGTATACTATCACTCAAACCAAGCCACTATCTGCAAAGAGCAAAAAAACCATAAGAATTGTCAGTCTTAAGTGAAGCTACCTCATTATTCATCATTGATAATGAGGCAGCACTAGGATGGAGTGACCCTTCCTCTGGTGCTTCATATTTTCTTCCCTTGGCAAATAGTACTTAAGGGACTGAGCTGGAAGAAACACTTTACAATGAACTGAAAGAAGGGCTGGTGTTCATTAAAGGGGAATCCCGCACACGTAGTGACAGCTCTCTTTCACTTCTGATGAAGATTCAAGACAATCATGCAAAGGAATGCAAGAGGACACTCCTCACTGAAGTACATCTGCCAGAAATGGAGGCAGATCCCTCAGTACTTTCACAGCATTATATAACTGGGAACCATTTCCTTGCATGTCAGTATGAAAAAGTAGTTAAGGAATACCTAGCATATGTTTTGGACTATTTGTTCAAACTCTGAGTTTTGCTGTATAGCTAGGCATCTCTATTAAAGATAGCAGCCCCATCCTCTGAAAATGTTTTCTGCGGATTAGAGAGGAGAAGGAATACTGATTCTGTTGCTTCCCTTATCCATACATGACACAACTTTCTAAAGAATGCAGAGAGGAAAGGGAAAAAGTCAGTCACCTCTCCCAAATATATATAGAGGGGACATTAATATAACTGGTTCAGATAACGAGGTGAGGAAGAATCATAACTCAGTCACTCCCAATAAAAAGTAGGTTTTTCAGTGAAGAATCAACAAAAGACTAATTTCAAGGATTTGGGCTGGACTTCCATGAACCTGACCTGGTCATGTATGCTCAAAAGTGTCTGAGGTGAATTTTGCTTCATATGTCTTTCCTTTAGGACACTGACTAAACTAGAGATGAGAGTCAGTGACAAGAGAACCATACTGTAAACAAACCCCAAAATTTGATTCCTATCAGAAATCATGGAAGATTTTTACAGCACATGCAGTTCTGCTGACTATTGAATTTCAGGGACACACTTTCAGGTATGTGAAGACATGACTTATGCCTGTGTTCATCTTTCTTACCCATTCAAATTTCAGTCAACACAGTGATTTTTGGAAAAGAGGCAGAAAGAACCTAACAGAGGTTATCAGACTGGATTCTCTCAGAAGTTTCCTCAACAGGCTTCCTCCTTTTCAGACAGCTGCTGCTTCCACCAAGAGAGATCCTTGTGGCCCACTTTTGTCTACTCTCTTTCACATTCCAATTATCTTTCCCTACCTCCCACACCACCTCAATATAATCCTCAGTTATGCTCACACTATAAGCTCTTTGTACTCTTGGAAGTAGCTATTCATCAAAAAACACTTGTTGAGAACTTGGATAGACATCCAAACCATTTAAACACTGTTTTTTCCCTCTTTGCTACAGCCACAAATGAATCTCAAGCATGCTTGTGAAACAGAGGAAATACACAATACGTAAGTAAACCTTGCCTAAGAAAAATTCTGCCTAAAAATTCCCTTGCCAATATGTTTTGAAATGTTTTTCTTCGTAGGTTTTTTTTTTTTTTTCACACACTGTGGATTTGAAACCTGTGGGAGAACACACTTCCAAATAATTTCAAACTGGTTATTACCCATATCTTGTAACAGACTCTTCTTCTACATATTAAAGTGAGCACAATGCTTTTGGTTTGGTTCAGTCTTTTCCACTTGACTCTCCATTGTGCTAAGATCAGGTTTTTCATTTGGATACTCACATATATCTGTATCTTACTTGTGCTATGAAAGATAACACTTCATCAACCATATATAGCTAACCAATTTTTTTAACCTTTTGTAAAACTTCTTGTAAAACTGAAGATAGATCTTTGCAATAAAGCTTGCAACAATCTTGTAAAATGTTTGCCCATCTTGGACGGATTTGGTTTCTTGAAGCATCTACTCTGAAACATTGTGATTTAAGCAGAAACACTCTATACCATACACTGTGTTATGTATTTACACACATACACTGTTTCTTGTACTCATCAGCCTCATAAGTGTACTTACTTTCAGGGTGTGCAGGGTGTTGGTCCATTCCATCGAACCTATCTGAGGTATAGCAGTAAGGAGTATGCTAGTAGCCTTATTTGCATTCCCTTTCAGCGTCTTTAAAACTTTATCCACTGAAACCTAGAAATACAATAAAACTGAATGATGTCTCTCAATTTTGATGGCACACGTTTTTAACAACCAAATAAATTTAACTCATAAGTATAAAGGTGAAGCCCTACAATGTCTTTTGAGACAGTAAAAACACCTTTCCTCTGTGTGTGTATGGTGTATATTTGTGTATTGTACACAAACAGGAGAACTAAGGCATATGTGCTGTTTTGCACAGAGCTGCAAAAGAAAAAACACCAGATCAAATACAAGACAGAGCTCATGAGCTTCATACTCAAAGACCACCTGATTCAGACAAGAGGAAACAAAATGTTTGCTAGTATTGAGGCAAGTTTGTGAAAACAAAAGAGAGCAACGACTGACTGTGTTCTTACTTTCACAATCATACATCACGAATACCTCAGGGATACTGATGTAGGCAAGAACAGATTTAGTTCAATATGTAATCTCTTACCAAAACCACATTCTCATTCAAATCCCTGATGACAAGACCAGAGGAAAGAAGTTTCACTCACTGCTTCTTCATGTTCCTTCCAGCAGTCATAATCTGTTGCCATGGCAATACTAGCATAACTCATTCCAGCTTCCTTCGCAAGAATCACTTCAGGCACTGTGGTCATGTTGATAACATCAGCTCCCCAGCTGCGAAACATACAGCTTTCTGCTCGAGAACTGAAACGTGGGCCTTCAATTGTGACCACTGTCCCCTTGGAATGACACTGGAGCCCCAGCTTCTTGGCAGTCTCAATAAGAACCTGCAAAACATGCCAACATCACGAAAAGGAAATAATTCCCCTCCTGCAGTGCTTTTGCATCCCCTCAAAAAGCTTATATAGAAAAGAAGTTAGCTTTATGCAAAGCAGTCAAACTTCATATGGCTACAGTTGTCCAAAACCAAGGATCAGTTTAGTTTTCCCCACCCAACAAGAGAAATTAACAGTCCGACCAACAGGAACGAACTTGAACTCATTTGATTTTGTTGATATCAGCTGGATTACTGCTTTCAGTGCAGACTAAGACTGGAAAACAGGGGTTTTTTTGCATATTTAGGCTGTGCTTACACTGCAAACAGAATGGTAGAAGTGGTCCACTGAGTACTACATTATCACATGGTGGAGTTGAGCTAGTGAGAACAGTAATAGGAAATTTATGTTTTGAAGAGTTGTGGTCAATGGGTCATTGTGCACGTGGAGACCAGTGATGAGTTGTGTCCCTCAGGGGTCGGTACTGGAGCTGATACAGTTCAACATCTTTGTCAGTGACACAGATAGTGGGATCGAGGGCACCCTCAGCAAGTTCACTGACACACCAAGCTGCGTGGTGCAGCTGACAAGGTGGAGGGAAGGGATGCCACCCAGAGGGACTTTGACACACTTGAGAGCTGGGCAGATGCAAACCTGAAGTTCAACAAGACTGAGTGCAAGGTGCTGCACCTGTGTTCGGGCAGTCCTAGACACAGCTACAGGCTGGACAGAGAAGTGACTGAGAGCAGCCCTGTGAGAAGGACTTGGGGGTGACGGCTGATGAAAACCTCAACATGACCCAGAGATGTGCACTGGCAGCCCAGAAAGCCAATGGAATCCTGAGCTGCATCAAAAGGAACGTGGCCAGCAGGTCGAGGGAGACAATTCGACCCCTCTACTCAGCTCTTGTGAGACTCCACCTGCAGTACTGCAAACAGTTCTGGGTGTCCCCAAGACAAGAAGGACATGGAACTGTTGGAGCAAGTCCAGAGAAATGCCACGAAGTTGATAAAAGGACTGGAGCACCTCCTCTATGAAGACAGGCTGAGAAAGTTGAGGCTGTTCAGCCTGGAGAAGAGAAGGCTGCATGGAGACCTCACAGCAACCTTCCAGTATCTGAAGGGGCCTACAGGGAAGCCAGAGAGGGACCCTTTGTCAGGAACTGTAGTGATAGGACAAGGAGTAATGGGTACAGATTGAAAGAGGGGAAATTCAGGTTACATATTAAGAAGAAACCTTTTACTATGAGGGTGGTGAGACACTGAACAGGTTACCCAGGGAGGTTGTGGATGTCCCAACCCTGGCAGTATTCAAGGTCAGGTTGGAAAAGGCCTTGAGCAACCTGGTCTAGTAGGAGATATCGCTGCCCATGGGAGGGGAGATGGAACTAGATGATGTTTAAGGTGCATTCCAACCTCTTAACATTCTATGATTAATTCTGTGCTGTAAATTAATCTAATATTAATCACACCTAATATTTGGGTTCATTGCTGATGTTAATTCTGAATCTATGTTTAACTGAAAGCCAATTATTACGTATTGTTAATAAATCAATAGACAACTTGAATTGTGACTTGACTTAAACCACAGTTGAGCAGTACTTTCCCAAAATACTTTACAAAGTTCCAATTTTACTGCCTATAAGATGTTGCACTGAGCCTCAGTTTCTGAAAGCACTAATAACCAAGGTACTCTGTGGTATTCAAAACTTTACAATCGGAGGAAAAGATAAACTCAGTTCAAATGCTTATTTAATTTACAGTGCATAAACCAACTAAACCAGAGTATTTTAATGAATTTGCAAAAATGCAATATAATATAAAGTTTTCAGATGTTTTGATGTAAAATTCCTTAAATAGACTGTTACATTCAGAGTTCGGACTTCATTATTATTGCATTTATCTATGAAATTCCCCTGCATTGGGTTGAAATTATTCCAACTATTTTCAGGGATAGTTTCATGGAAAAAGTTTAAGTCACTTTCGTCTTGTATTTCAAATGAAGTAAAAATATTCCTTCTCAGCCTCACAAAGAGTTCAAAACCACATGTCCTTTAAAACATCTGTTAGACTGATTAGAATGCACAGGCTAATGAGATTATGATCACATGTGAGACTGGGAAGTACCTAAATGTTTTTTCTCTGTTTGAAAAGGTGCATTTCTCTGCTGGCTTTTCAAAAACTGTAATACCTAAATAACATCATCTCTAGCTAGTTAACAGCTGAAAGACAACTAGTTTAGGTGTATGTCTCCTGCAAGCCCAGGAAATGCCTTATGCATGAGTACTTACTTTTTTTTTTAAAGTGAGAGACAGTGTGAAGTGCTGCCAATCACTTCAGAAATAACACTGTTCTCAATCAATTTCTTAATAAACTCCTTGTATCTGTTGTGACATGACACCATGCTCACAGTTAGAAAGTAACTCTATGCCAACAAACCTTTGTTAAGAGCATGTGACTAGATTCCTTTTTGCAAGAAAAATGCAAAGTGTATAATTTGCAGCTCAAGAGAAGAAGGTCAAACGCATGCATATGTTTAATATGCAGTGGTTTGTTTCCTCATGAGACTTGAAATATCTTTAGTTCATTGTAAAACATCTCAATTCCCAGTGTGGACTTGCCAGTGGCTATTTCTAAACCACAGTGTGGCCAATTAACAAAAATAGCCCATAAGGACATTGAAGTGAATTGGTGACAAAAGCACAATAGATCAGTAGTACAGACGTTTGTATGTTCTCTGGGTATAGATTGTGCCACCTGCTTCACAACTGAGCTCTGTCTTGCTTGCAGACAGCAAGTCTGTCAGATTGATATGACTGATTTTGTAAGTACTCCTGTTCCTCTGAAGAACATAACTCCTTGCAGCTTCTGATCAGAGCATTCAACAATAGCACAAAATATGAAGTTCAACCTTCACCTTCCTTTTTCCTCAACTCTAAGAATACACTAAGGTGACATATTTAATTACAGATACAGCCCTCCCAGAAGCTTATAAAGGTGCTGAAAAACAGAGAAGTGTTTCATACTTCCAAGTCTAAGTGGTTATGAACCCTGAAAATCCTGAAGTGACAAAACTGAAAGCAAAAGTTAAGAATAAAAGGCTACTGCAATTTGGCTTGTTTTCACGTTTAACATCCTAAGCCTTCACTCTCCACCATCACCCAGCTCTGCAATGCGCAAACCTACAAATGCTATACCGTAATTTCTGTGAATGCTACAGTACTATTTATTTAAATATTTGTATTAAGTATGTGGAGTGCCTCTACCATAGGTGCAGCTTTATTCAGAACAAAATGGAACCAATTCCTAATCCTAACTGCTTTGTTTACTTCATTGCTCACTTGGCCAGTTACCCGATAAATAAAGATCTTTTGTCCATTTATTAAGACTGAGGAAATCTAGGTTGCCAACTGATATCTTCTGGATATTTCCCTTAGAAAGACAGATACAAGATCTTTTACTTCCCATGTCTTCCAAATGTTACATTTGTCCTTAATACCATGACATATTGGACGAACAGGACAAAAAGGTGCATATTGTGACTATATTCTAAGAACACACAATTAGACTAATATATCACAAAAAAGTGCCATAAAAATAACATTTCTAAATACTACTACAAAACTCACTAACCTCTCTGGTTTTGGTGCAGAATGGCTCTGCCATCGGAATGTGACATACTCCTGGAAGACTGGAATGTTGCCCATCATATAAAGTACAATGTCTTTTAGTTGTCCTAGAAAAACAGTAACATGCTTAGAGAGAAGAACGGAAATAAAACAAAATAGAAAGCAAGAAATTTCTACAAATCACAAATCACAGCATCCCTGGGAGGTGGGTGGAAAAATCAGTATGATCTTAATGACCACCTATAATCCTGTTTTGTCTCTGTTCAAACCCTCAGAATTGAGCTCAAGACTATAAAAGTGTTACTCCAGGAGTGCATTATCAAATAATTACAGAAAATCTTTTGTTAACAGGACGCTGAAATGCTTATTTGTTCTCAGCATTTTCACAATGTTCCTCAGCTATGTTCACCACATTATGTTGCAATTCTACCCAAAAACAGTCAGCTAATTTAATAGTGAGGCATGTAACCTCCAAAAAAAAAAGCACAGTAAGCTTTCAAGAAAGCAAGAAATAAAGTCTGAATTACCACAAGGCTAGTCAAAGTAGAACTTGTTCATATCATTGCATTCTTACATTGAAAAGATGGGAATTTACAGGAACAGCTTCCTGCACAAAAGAGGTCTGAATTCAACTAGAAAAATTTGACAACAGGTTGTCTTCTTGTTCTCAGAAAGATTATGCCCATCCAGCACTGGCAGCTCCCCAGTAGGAGAATCCTTTTTCTCTTTTCTTTCAATTGAGAAATTGTTTCCTTGCATGCTGTAACAGGGAAGGGTGGAAAAACCAGGGGAAAAAACAGGTTCGAGGGATCCTGGTACGTGAATAAACCAAACACCGTTGCTAGTTGGCAAAACAATAGCTATTTATTAGGAACAAGGTGGCAAACAGGGAAAAAGGTGAATAAAGAC